AGCTTTTGTAATTATCCACCAATTTCTTAGAATTAAACACTATCTACTGATTTGCATCGAAGCGTTTCTTATGATAGTGATTTTAATCACTGTCAGATTAAATCTATACTGGACCCAACTATGCAACGTCCCCACTATGCCGCGACTCCACTTTGCTGGGTATTTAATTTGATTATAAATTTGTCTTTAAGATTGTAACATTAACATAGATTCAACTATTTTAAAGATTAAAGTACATATTTAAAACAGTTTAACTTTATTATAATAAATGATAGACTATCCTAGACGATTGTGATTGATCTTTTGTATAATACCTCACTTACGATAAATTTAATTATTTAAATATATACAATGTGAAATTTGTAAAACATGTGCAGAACTTTTTCTTTATTATAAATTATTTAGTTACACTTTTTTAATCTTAACGAACTACCAATATTGATTAACTATAGAGAACAATTTTGATCTATATTACTGTATGAAACATCAGCCAACCACGTAATTGATTTTTAATAAACAAAATAGACTATACAATTGCTGAATTTCAAAAGCCCATTTTTAACAATAGAAGAAATCATAATTATATGATTAATTATTTTTGTTAGAAATTAACATTTCAAATAGTCTTTTTAACAGTTGATATTAAATTAGCGCTTTGTAATATTGTTAAAACTTCAACAATGGCATGTAGGATTTTTGAGCTATAAATGATTAGTTTGTCAGTAGCTTGCCGTACTTAGTGTAACTTCTAAGCTTTCTGCGACATCAGTGACTCCATAAAATAGGTTTATTGACTGTTCACTAAATATTTAGATTGATGTTCTTTTATAATTTATTCTTTGGATATTTGGCACCGTGCATAGTTGAATTTGAACCTAACTCGTGTAAACCGTTAGTTTTCAATAATAGAAGGGGTGCATTTTAATAAATTAATATTCAAACATTTTTATCGTACAGTTAAGCTGTTTACTACACTGCTGATCAAGCGAACTAATTTATTTGTTATACTCAGCACGAATCATATTTTTTTGTAGCCATCAGTAGGCGATTAGACGACATGAACGGTTAGCGGGCGCCTATACTTTCGTTGAGATATTTATTACATGAACTGTTTTGTATTATCCCATTTTATACTAAGCTGTTGTTTCTCATTCACCTCAATGGCTCTATTCGTCGAACAGAAAATGAAGTTGAATAGTTTCAGTGGGACTCTGGTCTGTCAAATGTTGCTCGCGCCTTTAATATTTGTAGATCAAATACAGACAAACCCTTTTTCTGAAACGATGTCCGGGGGGACTTATCCTTTAGGATTACTATGAGACTTTTCAAGCAAAACCGTAATCGAACATGATGTTTTTGCCGGAGAAGGACGTCGCACCGTGACGTATTATTTTGTGAATACGTGTTTCTCTTTTCTTTGCAATATCGCGCACGTTATAAATATTACACCATTGTGTAACGCATTCTTCAAAATGGTTTTTTGATAGAGCTTTGCTGTATATAAAAAAACACTCACATATTTTACCTACATTAATCACGATAATTTTTTTTTCAGGACGATGGATATTTGGTAGTTTTTTCTGTCACATCGTTCCTTATGCCCAAGGCACAAGTGTATATACATCCACTTTGACATTAACTTCCATAGCTATTGATCGATTTTTCGTCATAATCTATCCATTCCAGCCGAGAATGACTGTTTGGACGACCGCTCAAATTATCGCTACTATTTGGATATTTTCATTGGTGTCAACTTTACCGTACGGTATTTATATGGTGAAAAATGAAGTAAATGGTAAAGACTTTTGTGAAGAGCTATGGCCCTTAGAATCAATCAGAAAAGTAAGTTGCCTACTATTATATATCTACGTTAATTAAATGAAATTGAAGATGAAAATATTAGAAAATTAATTACTATAAGTTAGAAACCATAAAAGGATATAAGTATTGGAGTCTTATAAATTATATTATTTGGCACATGTTTTAAAAACAAATATATTAATATAGCAAAATTCATTTGTTTTTTTATTATCTAATAATGCGTCTATTTTAATTGAAAATGACTAACATATTTAATTTAAATTACAACAATGTTGCATCTTTTGTTAACATGCATCTTAAAGAAATTATGTTTATAAAAAATTGATATAAGCTTACACTGTTGTAACCATAAAATATTATCTTATGTTTATGAACTTCTTAATTAAATAAACTTGATTAACATTTTCAAAAGTTTATTCTGGAAATATATTATTTTATAAAACTTAAAGTAATTCTAAGTTTTAGTTAATGCTATAGTTGCATTAAGATATGTATAAAAGTTCAATTTTTAAAAGTTTATTTTTATTCATTATATCAAATGATTTATTTTTTTAAATTTGAAGTTATTCCAAAGAAACTTTTTTTTATATAAGTAAATATTTTCAATTTTTTCATGTGTACATTATCTACCACAAAAATTTATACAACATAATTTTTCGATCTTTAAATTTTAGATTCTTATTAGAAAAATTTATTTTAAAAAATATATGCTCATCGCTACATTTTCAATATCATATTGAACGTTTGTTGCTTATTCATAGTCATCTTTTGAAATGATACTAGTAAGAGAAAAAAAGTTCTCTCTCTAGTGTCATTGAAAAATCAAACAGATGTCTATAACATAGTATCTATAACGTAGCTAAAAAAAAATTTAATAAACAGGAAATTGTTAAAACCGTTACCACTTTTACTGTTGTTCGTTCTCGTGGAAAAACTACTAGAGTGTTGAATTATATTTTTGTGTTGACAGTTTGTCATAAAGTATGTAAGACGTAAAATTCACACCCAGTTATACCGATGGCAGGAGTCTTTTTGTTACTCTGTTTAAATATAATCCATAAAAGATTAATTATATTACCATGTTTTGAAATATTTAAACTGTTTTAACAAAATCGAAAAAAATCAATATAAATTTAGTATTATTACATTTTTACGAATTTTCATTGAACGTAATTTTCCAAATAACTTTATTTTTAATTGAAATATTTTAAAATATCTTAATTATACTTTATTGAGAAAACAATGTGATACAAGTTAAAATTCTAGTGTTTTTGATATAAAACCGAGGTAAAGAGTTATAGGCTTCACTAAAAGAGGCGTTAAGCTTATATTATGGGCAATAAAGTTTTCACGAGCGATTTATGAGTATTCTACCACATGTGGTGGAAAAGATCTTAGTAAAGAAAAGGGAAAAATTTCCTTTAAAAATCACTATAATTTTTTTTCTATTTGTCACATCCCTGGTAAAAAATTTAAAAAACAGTGAAATTTAATTTTAAAATAATGTAGAGTTATAATAATTTACTCAAAATAAATTTTAGTACTTTCAAAGAGATATTTTATTCAATTTTATAACTGTTGTAATATAACGGTGACATTATAAATTTTCATTTACAGTTACTTATATAAAAAATATTTGTACCGACTACCATTTCATTACTTATTAATATAAGGCTATATTTTTTACAACAAAATAAATATAAATTTATATTATATAATATTTACCAATAACTTCTAAAATTATTAAAATATTACATTTACTTTTGGAATCCAGATAATATTTAAATTTTATTACAGCAATATTTAGCATAAAATTCTATTATATTTTGCAAAAATCAGTTTAAATATTTTAAACCCGCAAAATTAAAATTCATGAATTCAATTCTGACAAGATATAAGGTGACATTTTATCTTGTTGACATGTGAATGATTTGCATTTCAAAGCGTATAAAAGATTGAATAACGTTTTGTTGTTAGCGTACTTTGAATTTAAAAGTAAGGTATTTAAAGCTTATTCATAGTTGAGTTAATTGATAGCATAATTAATTTACACATCATTAATCAAATATCAACTATTAATATGAGCCAACAGTTTGAAGAACAATGATAAAAATCATAATTTGTTTCTGTATTTGAAAACTGCAGTAACTTTTTTAAAAAAACCATACCATTACAAAATTTTAATAAAATATACGAGATATAATAATATTTCTTTTATTAATACCATGGCTTCATTACAATTGAATTATTTCTATGGCTTTTTAAAATTTAAACATTTCTATAAATTCTTTAAAATTGGACCATTTTTTTGGCTTCTTTAAAATTTGAGTATTTTTATGGATTCTTATACTTTGAACATTTCTATGGCTTTATTAAAATTTCATCATTTATATGGCTTCTTTACAGTTTAATTATTTCTATGGTTTCATATGTTCGAAATATAATCAAAATAAAAAAGGTTTTCAATGACAGATCACGAAAAAATTCTTTAAACAACTGACGTTCTCCATAAAAATTAAAAACTCGTTTTAGAACCCCTTAAAACTCAAGAAAAATTTAGAGATATTAAAGTAAACACTAAATGAAATTTTCGAATATGAGCTAGTAGTATATATTTTTTTATTTTATTTGTTTTCGTATTCTCTGCTTTGTTTGAAAGATAATTTATTATTTATTTGTTATTTAACTATACAGGCAAACCTCAAATTTCATAAAATAAACATGGTTTTCATTTTAAAACTTACACTTTTTGATAATCAAGAGAAAAATTATTTAAAACTCTCAAAATATAATATAATTTCTATAGTACTTATAAGTTCTTGCTCGTAACTCATGAATTATGTATTTCAAAAATCTTTTATCTGAATGTGTGATCATTTTAAACAATATCAATTTAAATAATGTAAAACCTTTAAAAAATATTTCATAAATAATTACATTTTCTCATAAAATATTTTTTCTTTGAGTTTGGATATCAAATTTATTTATTACAATTTCAATTAAAATATATACCAACTTTTATAGAAATTTTTTTTTTTTGAATATTATGTGAACAATTATGATTCAAAAATAAATAAATGGATATAGATAAAAAATTAAGCTATTTCTGATTTATATAGTTTTTTTAGAAGAAAAACTATCAAGTTCAAAAAACTGTACAATAATATGTAGTTAAATCATTTTTTTATTCGTCCCTTTAGGGAAAAAATTGTTAATTATAACTTTCTTAAAGAAAAACATTATTTATAACATGATTGAAATAAAAATTTTAAACTAATTTGTTCCTACAATTATTTTAATGCGATCAATCTTTTTCGTTCAACAGATTGTTAAAAAATTTAAATCAAGTAAAAATTTATCATTAATTTAGTTTTAGAATACTAGTGGCAATGAAATCGGTATTATTGTTGCCAGCATGGTGTCATTAATCTGTTATGATAGTCCAAAAATTACTTTTTTTGATAGTTATCAAAAAAAATTGTCCTCGTCAGTTATCAAAATGAGAGATAACAATTATACATTGTCGCTATTGAAATAGATTATTGCTGCCACCAGTATGATAATACCAAATAATGAATTTTTATTTGAAATGTATTTAAATTTATAACTATATCATGTGGTTTTTATACCAAAAGTATTTCCTGCAAAAATAACTGAAATTAATTTTACTAAGTATCACCTTTTTCCTTTATTTTTACTATTATTTTTCATTGGAACTACAAAAATCTAATTCCTTTTTATAATTTAGCTATAAATATCGCACAAAACGCTATAATATACTAAATTTTGCAATGTAATTTAGAATTGGATTTTAAATTAAATATAAAATATATGAGATTAAAATCTGACATAACGTATAGGTTATAAAAATTTTACTGATATATTATATTGGTTTTTACATACTTTATATATTTCAATGAACAATAATCAGTTTAATATTTATTAATATAATTAAGTAGAACTATTCATTACTATAATGAAATTTTTGGTCTTTTTAATTTTTTTTATGATCAACAAGTAATAAAAATAAAAACTATATTTAGTTGGGTTCATAACTTTTGTTTTATAACATATAAACATTACTTTATTTATGTTTATACACGTGAAAAACGGTATTAAATGTTAATTGTAAGTTTCAATTTCATTTTTTCAAAATTTTCAATTTTACATATATATCATTTTGCCTGAACGCTACAGAAATAATACATAAATTAACATTTATTCATTAAATACAACATTGAAAAAAAAATGTGATTTAAAGTTACAAATATTTATTTATGTATATATTGATTTATCAGCTTTAATTTATTTGTCATTATCATCCTTTATTACTTATAAGTACGTTAACTATATTTCATTAATAACAATTTAAATACTTAATTCATAATATAAAAATTATCCAATTAAGAAAACAATGGGTCGATAACAAATTTTGGACCAGTACATTGAAAGTTATAAGTATTTTAAAATGTAGGTATGAGAAAGTCACAGGTATAATTATTTTTCACATTAATCATATCTTGGCTCGCTCCTCACACATATATAAAAATATTATCCATGTATAAAAATGTTAAAAATTTCTAAAAAACTAGTTTAAAAGTTGTTATCAACCTGTTATTTTTTTAATTAGATTATTTTCTATATTATAAGCAAGTTAAATATTTATACTTTCATTAAAAATAATAATGTTAACACGCTTATAACTTATAAGGGCTATGTTAAAAAATATATGTCACTAAAAAAAATCCAAAATTGTATTTTTTGATATTGTATTTACTTTGTAATAATTGAATGGGTCATCCCTTTGATAAATGGATCACTCTGTATAGATTTTTTGAGAAATAAACAATTTACTTATTCAGAATATAATTATTTTCTGTACATTTTAATAGCCAAATAAATGGAAATTCTAATAAATTCCAAGAAAAATCTGAGATTATTTTACTTTTTATAATGTCAATCCCTTGACTTAATTTTATAAGCTGAGTAGTTCAAAGTAAAACTAAACCCTAATGATATTTTCAAGTTTGATAATAAACCTTTAGCTAGATACATGCAAGAGATATAATAATTGAGTTTCATAAAGATTAAAAAACGTTAAGTTCACAGTTTTTTAATAATATTTTAATATAATACATTTTTAAGAAGTTTATTTTTACCTAGAGTAAGGTAAAAATGTGTATTTTCAAAACAAAATATTACCAACTTTGTTTCATTTTTCTAAACTCCGGTCACTTTTTCGAATAAATTAAAAAAAAAAATTTCATCAGTTTCAAATAATTATTATACTTTTCAAAATATATTATAATTTATGTTCTTTTACTATTCATTAAAAACAGGAATAAACCAATTCAAATGTATCATAATTATTAATTTAAAATAAATATTACATTTTGACATTCTAAAAAAATTTAATACTAAAATTATTATATAATTTTGCTAAAAATATACATTTTATAATATAATGCAAAATAATTCATTATTTTTTATAGCTCATTTTATTTAAATTATAGTATTTCACTTTTTGTTTACTTTTTTATAAACTAAAATTAATTAAAAAACAATAAAAAAAACTAATTAATAATTTTAATTTATACATTTTTTTTATTTATACGTGTTAATAATAGTAGTTTCTAATATAAGCGAATAAATGTATTTTTAACAAATACATATACATGCAATTAGGTTGGCGCAATTAAGATCTAACAACCACAATAGTTATAAAATATCAACAGCTTTGTTTATATTATTATTTATTGCAATGTTAAGACTATTGTTTTTTGCTATCGTTTTTCAGACAAAGTTGTATAGTAATTAAAAAATTATTATTTAAGTACAAAATAAAAAATGTATTGTTAAAATTCAATAGCAAAAATGAATTATTATTTACTATAATAATTATATAAAATCTTTACTACTATTAAGTATTATATATTCAGTTTTAACAAAACATTTTTTATTTATCTGATTAAAATGTTATACATTAAAAAATGTTATAAATAAATTTTTCTTCGATGTTTTTTGTAATGAATGATTCGGATTAAAATAAGTTAATAATAAGTTGTATAATTTAAAATAAAAATAAGATTTCTCCATTATCCTTTGGCAAACGCCATTTCGGCTAATTTTGTAATTTCTGAAAAAACAAATTAAATGATTGAGAAGATTTGATAGTGGCTATCAGTTTATTTTTAAAAATAAATTCCCAGGGAACATTTTTTTTTTTGTTTTTTTTTCGTGATTTAAAGTAATCAATTAATTTATCAGAAAAACGATATTTTTATATCTGGTTTAGAAGAAAATGATAAATTGTTTTATCAATAAGTTTTTTAGTAACATTTTGTTATATAAAGAGACTGATCAATCGTAGCTAAAATTAATATATTCTTTAAATATTTTTTATTATATACTTTTTAGTAAAAATAATTACATAATATTAAAAATCGTCTTATAATATTTAAGTATATGAATATTTTACTTCCTTTTAAACAATAAAAACATTTTAATGTTCAAAATTAAAATATTTGTAATTACAGATTGATAAATAAATATTGAATAAATTCATTGATGTAGCTAAATTGCCTATTTAAGTCGCCGTTTTTCAAATCGCACTGAAGTATCATCATCTAAGAATAAAAAGATTATGATAATAAATGATTTTTCAGTAGATTTTTAAACATAATATTATCATAAAGTTGTATTTTTAATGTATTTATCAAAAAAAATATCAAGTACACGAACATTTACGATTTTTTAAAAATTAAGTAGTTTGCATTGGTTTCTATTTTGATATTATAAACTTAACATTAATATTCAATTCATGGATCATAAAATTTTGGGATATTCTTTAAACACTTCAAGAATTATAATTAAGAAGCGTCAACTAGAGAAAATCTAAGACCTAATGCTATCAAAATGTGTATTTCATTTTCAATCATTTCAATGAGTACATTGAAATAATTGAAATCGTATTTCCCAGTAAAAAAACAATTATAAATATTTCTTTTCAGAAATTATATAACACCAGTAACTATTTAAAATACCTTTATATGTTCAAATTGTTTTAATTAGATATATAGGTGCATATTTAGAAACTATTTTGATAGTCTAACGTAATTTCTTTTTGCCTTTAATATATTTCAATACAAATATAAATATAATTTTTGAGAGCTATGGTAGCATTTAAGAGTGCTAAGTGCTCCTATAGACTTTGCCACGTTATACTTCTGAATTAAATTATTCTATTTAAAGTCAAACTTTGTGTTCATTTTATAATAATCATTTCATTACAATATTTTCAAAAAAATTGTTTTATTACTGAGTTTATAAGAATTATTCATATAATTTAAATTATTCAGTATTATCAAGTATACATTTTACAAAATTAAAAAGAAAGTTATCTTTATTAAGTATAATTTGCATTTCAAAGAAAATCTTAAAAGATATTTTAACAATTTTATCGATCAAAAAGTAAGAAGAACAAAAAATATTTGTGCCAGTAAAATACAAGGCACCTAACCGGTTCAATTTTTAATTAAAGTACTTTTTAAAAATTAATATCCAAGATGAGAAAAAGTTTGTATAAAATATTAATAATTCTGAAAGGATTATATCAATTTATTTACGGATAATTATAAACAGTGTGATTTATTTGACACGATATCTTCAATTTTAGTCGTTAACAGGAATTTATATTTTACATAAAAATACTTGTCTTATCTAACTGTAAAAATAATATTTTTCGGATTGGTTTATATAAGTATTTTAATAAAAATGACGATTTCACAACATTTTTTGTTTTATTAATTTGGAAATCAAAAAATCTTTTTCGAGTAATTTTTTTAGCAGATTTTCTTTCTAAAAGTATAAAAATAGATACGGACTCTATTAATATCAATCTTGAAAAATACTAATTTTTTTATGGAAAATAATACTTAAAAATCATGATAAAACATTAAATAAAATATACTATAAGCTAAAATACAACAATAGAAAAATAAGCATTCACACACAGCTAAGAAATTTTTACAAAGAAGAAGTTATATTTACCAAAATAATAAGAATTCAATGGACTAGGAATAAATGGAAGGTTTCAGGATGTTTAATAAAAACGTGAGGTTGTTACGAAAACATATCAAGACAAAGACAGTTTAATGATAGCTTAAGAGTTTTAATGAGTTTTTGAATGTAGTTGAATGTAGCAACCCTAGAATATGAAACATTTTGGCTAAGCAAATTGTTATATAAATCGATGGACGTAAGTTATTTCGATTGTAAAGAATGTAATAGATCGAAGATCTTCATAAATTATATACAAAATATAATAATATAAAAAAAGTGTTCATAACAACAATAATATAATATTAAATCTAAAATGTATTTCTGTATTACGACAGGTTTTGAACATTGAGAAATCTGTAAAATAAGCTTGCAATGAAATTTATGGGTTACGAAGATAGTATAATTGTTTACTATTTTTAATTATTTTTCTTTATTAGATTGTTGGTTAAAATATAGACACATATTTAAAAATTTGTATGGTTCATTTAATCATTGTTACAAATTTCAAAACCTAAATAACTAATATATTTATTACAATATTTATCATTTTAGACATATCTTATTAGAACACGCAATTTCATGTTAAATATTATTTTTTTTTTTTTTGTATTTTAAGACATTATTTAAAGTTTTTGTCTTAGGGACAATTGTATTCCGTATTCGACTTGCGATTGTATGTTTGTTAGTATTAAACTATTTATCTTTTAATTTGGTTCGTTGATGTTTATGTCTTCTCAATATTGGCCTATCATTATTTGTTTCCGGTCTGTATCCACGACTTTTATTCATAATATCAATACATATTATGTATTCATTGTGTTCTTACTTGTTGTATTTACACAACCAATAATCTCTAATGTAGTTAAACATCGTTATGCAAAAAACGAACATTGCATTACATATTCTTACAAGATTCGATATCGAATAATGAAGTCGAGTATCTAATATTCATTGATAGTACTGACCAGTACTGATATTGTGAAAACAAGACTGTGGGTTTCAGCCTATAAATAGTGTGTATGTTAGTGGACATATATATTGTGTTTATAAAGTTTAGTGTAGTATATACTATATTAATGTACCATTACAAGCTTATATATAGAACTGTTATTATATTTTTCTTTTACTGAATCACTGCATTATGTACATAAGATGCATTGTATTTACTCTCCTTTTAGTATTAGCTTACAGTCCTTTCAATTCTTAGACATATTTAATTTCAGTATACACGCATAAAAACTTTATCATATGTGCCTTTTCTCACGAATTTTTATCGGATTTCATTAAATTAAATTTTTTATTTTATCTGAATAACAAGTTTTTGTTTTTTTTTTTCAGCTATTTGGTGCTATTACTGCTATTCTACAGTTTGTTTTACCATTCTTAATAATAGCTTTTTGCTATGTTCGGGTATGGCTTAAGTTAAATGATCGTGCAAGATGTAAACCTGGAACATCGACAAAAAACGCTAGAAGAGAAGAAGTTGAACGCGAAAGAAAAAGTCGTACCAACAGGTATAGATTTACACATTTAGTTGATGATTATTTATATTCTAATTATTTTTGATAAGATATCAGTACAGTTGTTAAAAAAAAGTTTTAATAATAATTAAAAATTGAATTGTATATTACACAATTATTTAAAAAATGTTACTCATTTTTTTTTTTTTTTTAACTGTCTAACTATACTAACCATAATTATTATAAATTGTAACTGTAATAAACATAATAGTTTTTTAATACTAAATTATTCATTTTTCAATTTTTTATTGCCATCAAACTGGCGTCTAGAGTTGTTTGTATTTTAGTCGAGTTATTCTTTAGTTAGATAAAAAAGAACTCGTGTAACGTTTTGGAAGATTTCCCATTGGGCTCTTATTGTATGCATATTATTGTTATCGTTTAGTTTGTGTTTACCAGATACTTAAGTTAAAAGCAAATAATAAATAAACAAAAAATGATATGATCATTCAGAGCATCAAACATCGAGCAATTCCTTGTCGCCAATATTATAGTTTTGTTTCTACTTTTTTTTCAATCGTTGTGAGCGAAATGTTTATAAAATAAATTAAGACAATGGTAAAACTGTCATTTCCATAATGTGTTTCCATTGCAATTATAAATATAGAATACTTAACAATAATAGGTATAATTATAATTTATTATAAATAAATATAATTCGAAAATAAAACATGTATTAAATAAATATGTCTTAGAGCGTTAAAAAATTATTGGTAAACTATTAATTTCGAATTACTTCATCGTCAGATTATAATATGACAAAAAAATGGTAACTGACTTAAAACCATAAAATATAAAATTAAAAATTAAAAATTGTATAAAATATTTAAAAAATATTTATTGTTATTTCTTGTTTAAATGTAAACAATTATTTTTTAATACTTTTCAGTTATACTAATTTAGTAATTTTATTATATTTAAATTATATTTTAGTTTAATTACACAATAAGTTTCTATAATTTCAATATTAATACAATTTAATGATTAATTTGAATAAGGATTAATGACATAGTGTTTTCTTTCGTGATTAATAAGTAGTTGTTCTTCATTCTGTTATTATTGATTCTTTTTATATTTTGTTATTGTTTTTTTTATAACTGTTACACTAATAGTCATAATTTTAGTCTCCATCAAATAAATATAATAGCAGCATTATGTATGGTATGAGTCTCATGGGAATCATTAAAAATACTTTCAGTTATAAAAAATTTTACTGACAGTAAATTTAAATAATCATTTTTCTGCGTATGAATGCAAACTGTTGAAATATGATAATTACAATTTTTAGCATTAAACTTAGTATACATTCTAAAAATGTCGCATAGTTTTTAAACATTTTCTTGTATTTGTTTTTAAATAATTATTATTAAAGTTTGTGACAAGATAACATGTTTAGTAGGCATTAGTTGAAAAAAGAGAACAGCATAGTTTAAATCAATAAAATCTCAAATACTAAAAAATAAAATAACAAGTTTGACATGATTTGAATTTATTACTCAAAAGTATAAAATATCGTTTTTTTATCATATTATGCACAATTTATAATTAATAATAATATTTAAGTTGTGATAAATTATTCTAGTCCAATTCTTAAATTTTAATTTACTTCTACTCATCCATCCATTAGCAATTATGACTGTACGCTTTGAATATCAAACAATAGAATGAATTACATTTTATTTGTACAAGTCAATTAATTTGGCGCAGATTGATTTTATTGTGTATTGCTTGCTTTGTTTTATTTAATGACATATACTTTGATGTAACAATATAAATGGATCAAACTATTATCTAAAGAATTTTTTAACGGGTTTTGTATTGATCAAAATTGTTTTCTAACATAAAAAGTTAAAATTAAATATACAATGTAATAATAATAATATATCTTTTTCAACTAGTTAACTCAAAAATAAAATAGTTTTTATATGTATAAATAAATTCATTTATTAGTCTTTTTCAGTCAAAATTGTTTAAATATGAAACATTTTTGTTTTAATATCTCAAAATATACTAATAAAAATGTCGAATATTTAATGTTGATTTATGTCTAATTTAGTAAATAAGTAAATTTTTATTTAACTAAATCATAAATTCACTTCATTTGCATCAATAAAATAAAATCCAATTGAATATTATTCTTCAAAAATTGTGTTGTATTATGTATTATAACGCTGTGTATACATAATGCATCTAAAGCGTTCTACTTTGATTTATATGTTAAATTTTTATTGGGCTCCCTATACAAATATTATAAAAGAAATAATAAATTCAAACGAATATTTCAAATTTATTTGAAATATATTTCTTTGATATTTCTCATGTATTTTTGTGACAATAGATATATTTTTGAAATTCATATTACACAATTCTTGACCTTCTTTCAGGCACATACATATTTCATTCTGATACAATACTGTCTTGATTGGATTTCATAACAGTACAACTTTATCTTCCACAGTTTTTATACTTCTATGTAAACTATATATCATATAATTTTTATAATCTATTTAAATTTATCAGTTAAATTTTTTTGTCGAGTACATTTTTATTTTTATATTTGACATCTGGATGAGTTCATAAGCATAGACATGAAAGGGCTTTGATTTACAAGTTATCAGACTGTATGAGTATTCATTTACCACTAAACCATAAAAATGCTAACTTACAACGTATTATAGATAAAATGTAAGGAAATAATATTTTTGATTTAAGGTATTCTTTCAAGTGTAGTATAGATACCGTTCTTATAAAAATCGATGTTTAAGAACAGTCAAGAATAATATTTCTATTTTTATACTTCGTTCATTCTTATAAATATAATTAAAAATTTTAACTAATTTTAATTAAACTATTTTGGGTATTATTTTACTCTATAAAAATAAGCCTTTAGAGAACTTTAAAGAATGACCAATAATTTATAATTTAACTGATTTTTCGTTTTGTATTAAGTATTGCTCGTATTAGCGAATGCATTAAGTAAAAAGTCTTACATCTCACATTAAAAAAATAGATAACTCTTTTAATGTAATACATTTGATTTATTTAGAGTGTTAGAACATTTACTACTATGTTCTTACCACTTATATGATACACGTTGTATTTTCATTTACTTAATTCGTAATATATTTTATTTAGCAAAAATCAATAGTTTAACTTTATTATATAATTATATAATAATTATATAATTTATAAAAAGTAGTAAATAACAAGTTAAGGTACACGATTATCTGTGTAACCTTCAGATAATTAAAGATCATTCAAGAGATAGGGACAATATTTGAGCAGACGTCGGGTAGCTTCCGATTTTTGATTTCAACCAAATTTCCCAAGTATTAAACGGATCTCTAATAGAAAAACATATGACTTTTTTAATTTCTAATAATATCGTATATAATTGTAATTTTTAGATTTGATGCATAACTGAAAATATATTAGTGTAACTATGTCGTGTTTTTTTTTCGTGTCTGACCTTATGAATTATCTATTCCTACTGGACGGATTTACTCGAACAATTCGTCTCAGATCTTAATTGTATTAAACTGAAGTTATCAGCACTATAATTTGGTAATTTTTTTCTCAATTCAATTTTAAAGGGAAATGATACAAAAAATTACAACTGTTATAAAATAGTCGATATTTATTTGTTTAGTTTCACCTTACATAGAAAAACTTTTTGAAAACTTAACAAATTATTGCAGCAATTTTATTGGCAATATTTTAGAAATTTACCTTGCTAAAAATATACATATTTTGAAATTAAAACTTAAAATAAAAAGGTTTAAACATTACGTCTACATATTATTTATTTTTTATTATATTCCAAAATTTCTGCTTCTTTCAAATTTATAGCAAGTTAATGTTGACTCAATTCATTTTAAAACGAAAAAATAAAACTCTTCAAAAATTTTATTTTACAAATTAGACCAAAAATCATACAATTTTCGTTATAAATGACCAATTTTAATTGGGTTTGAATAGCAAAAAATTCAAAACTAAACCAAATTAAAGCTTTGAAATATAGATATAGATTAAAAATGAAAAATGCTCAACAATTTTTTTTCATAAGTAATTTGCTACCATGTCAAAATTTGTAAATTGTTCATTAAAATTTGTTTGTTCTATTTTTTTTTTTTTTATAAAATTCCATTAAATATTTATACTTGTGATGTTAAATAAATGCCAAATTTTTATCTATGCTGGAGTCTACTACGTCGGATCTCCACTAAGGTAGATGATAGGTACAGACTCCAATGGGAATTTTTTTTTTTATAATGATTTATTTATTAAATTAAGCATCTCATAATGAAAAAATTACATAAAAATTTTTCCATAGTGTTTATTATTATTTTTTAGAATTTTAAGAGTGTATATAGGTCCGTGGAAATCCCACGGACCATTAAAACGATTATTGTTTATTGTAATATAGTATATATTTGTTTTACATTTAATTATAAATCCTACATTTTGGGATAAACCAATTAACTCTAATTTCAATTGTATTTTGCTGTTTTCAGAATGTTAATAGCTATGGTGGCTATATTTGGAGTGTCGTGGCTACCACTGACTGCTATTAATTTTATGAACGATTTCTACCAACAAACGACCAGTTGGCAGCATTATTACCTCTCTTTCTTTTCGGCACACGCTGTTGCAATGAGCTCGACGTGCTATAATCCATTTTTATACGCTTGGCTAAACGAAAACTTTCGAAAAGAATTTAAACAAGTGTTGCCTTGCTGGCGAGACAATGTAGCGTACAGGGCAGCTCGTATAGATTCTAGTCAAAGCCGTCGAGGTCGGGTCGGTGGGTACCGATTAGAAAGAACGTGTAATGGTAATGATACGTGCCAGGAAACATTGCTGCCTACGTCAGTGATTTTACCCTCAGGTCGTACTACAGCCACAACTGATTTCACAGGACTTGATTTGGTCGTGAGTAGTAGTTATAAAATGTTTCCGTTAAATCTTTCTTTCTTGTTGGATTAATATGTTCTTTTAGTTCGTCACTAATTTTAGTTAACAATCTAATATCATCGAACAAATCACGATCAATACAAAACATAATAAATTTTCATATTATTTGTATAAAAAAAAAATCTACATTCATTGAAATATCGTGTAGTGTTTTTATAAAAATTGTAAGATTTAATTGCTTTACAAAATATACAGTTCATAATATATGAATCCATGAAAGGAACTTTCTTGATAACTCATCTTTTGAAAACCCGTTTGGATACTTTGACATTTTAGTTATCTAATATGTGTTTTATCCAAATACCAAATCTATTCAAAAATTCGTATTATTAATCTACGCTTAACTTTATAACTAACTTAAAATATAAAAATTTACTAAATCATAATTTTCTAGTACATAAGATATAATGTTCTAATATCATTCAAAGTATTTCAATTATGAATGACTGAACAAAACGTAATAATAACGTTGTCATATGGTTATAAAGTATTTCAATTATGAATGACTGAAAAAAGCGTAATAATAACGTTATCATATGGTTGAAAAACAGCTGATAACAGTGATATCATACCTTTTGGACAAGTGTGGATGGATAACGTTTACGTCTCAGTATGCATATAAATATATATATATATTAAAAACAATTCAAAATCACATTTACTTGTAGGTCAATTCTAATAATAATCAATATTTATATTTATAACATTTATAAATATACTTAATACAAATATCATCATATAGGTAAAACAAAAACCCAGCATAGAGGGATAAAATATAATGATATTTGTGAATGATTAAAATCACTATCATAAGCGCTTAGATGAAAATTTGTAGATAGTGTTTAATTTTAATAAATTAGTGAATTATTCCAAAAGCTACATGATATCCTATTTCCTTATTTATATCCTGATTACAAGTTTTATGATTTATGAGCGTAATATATGAATTAATATATAAATATATAAAGGGTATATGGTCCCATTTAAAAAAAAATATATATCCCATAAAATAAAAGTATAAATAGTACTTATCTTAAAAAAATTATTATGATCCATACATTTTTCAAAAAGTTATAGCGTTATAAAGTTAAAAATATAAAAAATACTTTTTTTTTACAAAAATCGTATTTTTTTTATTAATTTTTGTGTTAGTTTTCACCATGAAAATAAAATAAAGTACAACATTTTTCCATAATAGAGTATATTACATAAGCTTTAATTTAAAGTATATATAAAAATGTCAGTATTTCTGGAACACTTTCAAAAATTAAGTTGAAATAGTTGTCATTTTGAATCCCCCCTATGGGCAGGTAAAGGATCAGATTTATAAGAAAAATATAGAAAATGATAGAAAAGTACCTAACTTATCAGTATAAGAAAAAATTATAATGATTTGGTCATTTTTGAAAAAGTTATTGCAGTTTTCATTAAAATTTCAAAAAATAAAATTTTTAAATTTGTAATTTTTTTGAAGATTTCCGGGAAACGAGTGAAATTTTTTCAATTTTTGAGGGTAATGTCTTCGATTAGAAACGATTTGTGATGTTTTGACGTATTGTTGAAAGAAATCGGTTCAATGAGAGTTGAGAAAAAGTGGTAACAGACACAAAAAAAATACATCATAGTAAAATCAATATATTCTCAGCTTCGCATCAAAGCTAAAATCGTGTAATATATTTATTTGGGATGGTTTATCACTTACAGGTTAATACTTAAAGAAAATATAGAAGTATTTCCAAAAAGTATTTCTAGTAACGTTAAAAAATATATAGATTATGTTTAATGATACATATATAAATTGTTAACAAACTTCTGAAGAGATTTTTGAAATATTATTACAAGTACATTATTACAACTTCCAAAAAATTGTTTAAGCATACAAGTCGTAATAGAGGATAATAAATTATGCAATCTACTTAAATAAGAATTTCTTATTATATGCGATTATTATTATACGGGTACGGTTTTAAGACTGTACCCGTAGAAAACATAATAAGAACAGAAGGAAACAGAATTTATTATGGGTTGTATACACAATATTATTATATTTTACTTTTTACGATAGAAATACAAGTAAAATAAATAGGTAGTAATTAACAATCTTTAGGTCTTTATACCTTCGTAAACTTAATTTTCATAACATAGTAATAGGTTTATAGGTGTAATCATAAGTATTGCAGTTTTACATCGATTATTTTAAGATTTTTTTGTTTCTTTTTAGATTTTTAGGTTCATTACTAACATAAATATAATAAAGTAAAAAGTACTTTATACACAGTGTGATTTATTAAGAAAACTACCAGTAATTTTTTGTTTAGTAATTATTTTTCATAAAAATATACAGATTAAAATTAGACTTATTTTTATGAACTATAGTAAATATTAATAATAAATATTTTTTCTTACAATAAACTTGATATAGTAAATATAAAATTTTTGTAAGATAAAATTAAATTTTTGGGGTAACTTTCGAGTTTAAAATTAAATAAGTTTAATGGAAACTTATTATTATTTTTTTACTATTAAATGGAGAAAGTCTAATTCAAATTTTGATTGGCCAATAATCAGTTTTGAACATTATCTTTTAAGATATTTCCATTTAAAGATTTAAAAAATTTGCAGAACGGCGTAGTATTTAGCAACATTCCATTTTTACTATAACACACAAATAAGAATTTTTAACGCTGCGAACCTATTATTACACATACGTGATAATAAGTTCCTGTTTAACTGTCAAAAGTTATCTTTAAAATCTACTAGTAACACATTTTTTTTATGCAATAAAATTGATATTTACTATGGTTTGTAAGTATAAATTAAATTTAAATTTGTACATTATTATTATTCAAAAATTATAATTTAAAGAAAATATAATTATGTTTTTATTTTTAATAAATCACTCACTCTACATATTCTTATCAAAAATACCAGGACGAATCAAATGGACAGAATTTTAAATGGTGGCAAGATTTTTATAGTATAATAATATAATAAATGAGTAAAAGTGATAAAAACTTTAAAGAACATTTTTTATATTCAAAGTTTTCGCTAAATCTGATAGAAACTAAATTGACTTATAATCATTAACGCAGAAAAGTCGAAGAAGTAATTTATTGTACTAGTAACTGTTTATTAAAATTACTTTAAATATATGCAAGAAATATAGGAATATTATATCAGCCAACAGAATACATTAATGACTTTTAAATCAGAATGAGTTTGATGATGATTGTTAGATTGAGTATTATAAAATAAGATTGTATTATGAAATTGTAAATAATGTCTAAATGACAATAATGGTGCTATACAAGTCAACTAAAAGTTGTTCAAACTTCAAATATTATTTTAATGAAAAATTTAGGAATTCTTGCTAAATTCAATATAACATAATTTCACCGATTACTTTTGGCTGTCAAAACATAATTGAATTTCAACACACAACTTTTTGACTCGCGTTAATTAATGAAATATAAGTGTAGGGTTTAATTTAAAATACCAAAACTATTTGCTTTTAACTTTGTGTCTTTCGCATAATAAATACATTATCTGAAAAAAACTTTATATATCTTTGATTAGCGTTAAGTATAATATCAAACATAAAACTAAATCTGAGGTAAATATATTAATGTGTAATTTATTGTATTAAATTAACACTACAAAAGATTACCCAATAATCTTTTCTGTACTCCCTTCTTATTATACCATGGTAACTATTGCATACTTATAAATATAATAATTTACATAATTATTTAAAATATTGAATTTAATAATTACTCTTAATTTATTTCAGAGTAGTATACTTAATAGTAGTACTTAAGTATTATTTTTAATATAATATTATTATCTCTGTCTTATGATTTTTTTGATTCTATTAATTTAATGAGAGAACGTAGTCTTGTAACTATACCTCCATTGTATTACTATTTCTAAGGCATTTATTCAAAATTAAATTAAATGTATAATTGTGCGTTTTATGTTGTCAAATAATTATTAATTTAAACAGAAACGAGATAATTATAATTATATAGCTTACACAGATCATACAAGCTGTATCACGTAAACAATAACACCGTTAACTATAAGTAAATTAACTATTTGTATACCTACTAAAATACACAATTACCTGTCATCTTCAAATTTCGATCTGACTCAGGTTCAATTGAAAAGCTTAATATGTTTTGTTATGGTATTAGTTTGATTTTGATACCTTATGTCAGTGTCCAGTTTTTAATATAAATCGATATTGACGTTGAACGTGTACTGCTTTAAAATAGCTCAAATTTAACAAAGTGAGGCAAATGAGTTGGGTCAAATATTCACTAATGTTATGTAAAGCAGTGAATATAATAAAACTTTGAAGCTTAAACCTTGTATTAATTGAATTTTTAAAAATAAACAATTGAAATTTCAAATATAATTGCATGTAGTTCCTAAATACTAATCAATTTTGAATAAAATGATTAATAATGCGAATTTGACAAAAAAATATATCAGATTATAACATATATTTTATGAATAGAAAAAAAAAATTTATGGGTAGTAAATAAAAACTCTAAATATTAAAACAAAAAATCTAGGTATATTGCAAGGTTTTTATTCAATAAATATCTTGAGACTATCTTTAAGAATAATTAAAAGGATTACTTATTTGTTGGTACCCAATAAATAATTTTTCTATATATTCATGTTTAATAAATTTACATTTCGTTGACGTTAAATTTTGTAAATATATTATACGACATATATTATAAAACATACTATTTCAACATTTCAAAGCAAAAACAAGAATAAAATATGAATTTAATGTATGTGAAATATTAAAAAAAGAAAAAAAAGGAAAACGTTTTCTTTTTTTTCTCTTTAATTTCAATACCTGTAATAGACAAAGATTTTTATTGGTTAATATGGTTATTAATTGTTGTATTAAACAAAAAGAAAACAGATTATTTTTTTTTTTTTTTAAATAAAATTTTATCTTTTTTTTTTATAAACTTCTCTTACTCATTAAACATTGCACAAAAATAATTAGAAACACCTGAAATATTCAAATAGTTTATTATTTAATTTAAAATAAATATTTTGATTACATTTTTACAAAATATAAATGATAATATTCATTATATCGACTTTTTGTATTTTTTGAAGTAGTTAAAGAAGAAAAGATTTATTACAATATTATAAGATAGATTATTTTAGAGGAATTTTCTTCGGTATAAGTATAACTGAATAACAGTTTTATAGTAATAATTTTTTGTGCAAATCCATTAATTTTAATGTCACTAATCTTTGAATAATATTCGTTAGTAATAGTTATTATTAATATGTTGGAGTAAATAACTGTAACTAGTTCACAAATAATACGTGCGCAATAGTATAATCATTTGTCATGGAGTTGACACTTAAGTTTAAAAATACCAACATATTTGTGTAATATCATTTTCATATTAAGTTTAATATGTTAACAAAATAATTTTTCAACGGTTGTATATTGTTTACTCATGACTTGCTTTCTAATCGGTGCTTAATATATCAAGGACACATCTTGTTATACTAAAGTGCTGTAATTTTAATAATAGTAATATCATTACTATAATTTACCAAATAAACCACCGCTACAAAATCCTTCGAGTTAGAAAACTTTCTATTGGAAGAAAATTGTTTAACAAAATATATAAATTGCTATATATTATACAGAAGGTAACAAATACATCAAATATTAAGCAACCATTGACATTTTTTTTTAATTCTTAACAATGATTTCACATAAGCAACTATTCCATTTTATTTTTAAGTAATAAATTAATATTTTAGTACAAGAGACCAAACATGTATTATAATATATTCATATATAATATGAAAAGTATCAATATACTTCAGTATTATAATATATAGACGTATGAATATTTTTAATTTATTTACTGAGGAAATACAAGGAAAGGTATCATAATGCATGTAACTATTATTGTAATAATAATAATAAGAAATCAATTGGTCAACGACAAATTAATCATTTTATATACTAGTGTGTAACTAAGATATGACAAATTCAATAATTTTTCATCCAATAATCATTTTGCTATATTTTTTTAAACAATTTTTACTTAATGTTTAGAACACAAATTTTTCAATAAAAATATTACAGTAAAATAGTTATTAAATCAAAAATTTTGTCCCCGTGGATGGCAGATAAGAATACTCTTACGGCACCTCTGCCAGTTGTAAGAGTCGTCTAAGGTAAGGTTGCGTCATGTCGAAAGCCGGCGTAAAATGTTATCAAAAAGTATGATGAGTTCTGAACGAAACTTAGTCGGATTGTCCCATCTTGTATGTACTCGAGGACAACTGGTGAGAGGAACTAATGTTGTAGAAGCGCAGAAGGTCTAAAAAATAAAGAGTTTGATACCAGCCGGACCAACTTGTGCGGTAACTGATTCACTAGTCATGTGTATGGGTCAACCCAACGCTTATAATGTCAACGTTGCAGGGAAATCATCACTTAACTGGGGACTGAATTCGTGTATAAGGGAATGGCCGACCCCAAGTAGTTGGGATTAAAGAGAGGAAAAAAAAGAATAATAAAAAATTATTTTATAAGTCATATCTTTTAACTCGCTCTGTATATATAAAAGTTAAACATTTTAATAATGATATTTTTACAATTCAGTATAAAAAAATTATTTATGATAATATTTTACTTATTTTACTCGAAAAATATTCTATAATGAATTATAATTTTTTACAATAATTTTTTGAGTAATTTAAAAATAATATTAACTAAAATTAAGGATTAAAATCAAAAATACAAATAATACTAAAATTGTAACTCAACATAATAAAATTTATATATTTCTTTAAATTACGAAGACTATTTTAATATTATTAGCTCATAAAACAAAGATAATACTAATCAAATTGGCATAATATAAAATAATCCATTAACTTTAAGTTAGTTTCTTGGTTTTATAATTAATTGTAATCCTCTTAAGCTAAACTTAGGTAACTACAAAATAGATTTAACAAATCATAAAAGTATAAAGTTTTTGAAAAGTAAGAATGAATTTAGTAAAAGTTTACTATCAATTTTATATCAGTCTTAAAATGTATTAAAATTGAAGAAAAAGTGAAATGAAATATAAAAAGTTTGAAATAAATAATTTAAAACAATATACAATGTATAGATACAGTAAATAACAACTTATATTTTATGAATGTTATAAAATATAAAGTTTTCGTAGATTTCTGCATTATTTAATATATTTTCAGATAAGTGTTATCACTTATTTTTTTATACAATTTACTTTAACTTATAACAATTGTACTTAATATAACATAATCTCATGAATTAAGGGTAATTGTAGTTTTAATATAACTCTTTTATTCTGATAAAAACCTTACTTTGTAAATCAATATAAATTAGGATTAATATATATATATATATATGGATTTTTTTATTTTCATAAACGTCAAAATATATTTTTACCAACAAAAAATTGTTTTTTTCAATGTTATTAGATTCAGAGTACTATGATAATTTTTATCGCCATAATTAAAGGGTTTGATGCAAAACGAGGTAGCTTCACGTTTTAAATTTTAAGAGAATGGTTAATCAATTTAATAAATTGAGAGTTTCATGAGTATCTTCTAATGTTATTACATTTATATCTGAAAGAGCACATCCATATCATTAGTGATTATCTCACTAATTAATAGTAGTAAAGCTCTTTGTTTGATTTAAGAAATCTTCTGAATTTCTTTGTAAATAAGATATCAGTGTTGACTTTATGTTATTTTACAACAACGAATTTCTATTTTTTATGTTAATGCCATTAATTTTAATAAGACTAAAATAAAAATTATTAATAAGATTTTTTTCTTCTTTCCGTATCAATGGGACGTCATACTCAAAGCATTTTTTTCTCTTTAACAACTAAACGTTGTCAGAAATAATAACACAATTTTTTTGAATGGATGAAATAATAACACATTTATTTTAGGATGGATTAATGATGGGTGATCAAGAAGATAATCAAGATGCAGTTGAAGTAATGCTTGTAGCGTATACTCAAGATGATGGCACGTCTGAACGTTGTGGTGCTACTCAACAGAACTCTGTGTGAATTGAAAAAAAAACATTTTAATGGTAGGTGGTCTATAACTAAATGGTTACATTTTTTAAGAGTAACTAATGAAGATTTGTGTACCAAGATTTTTTATTTCTTTTAAAATGGTCACGTAAACTATTAGTAATAAATAACAACTGAACATAAGGAATAAAATGTAAATATTATTGTTCAAGTCACTGTGATTACATCCATGATAGCAAAAAATTGCCTGCTTAATTTTCTATGACTACATGAATTTTTTCATTCACAAAAAAACATTTTACTTTTATATTTCTTTGCTTAACTTATGTTACATAACATATGTATAATAACACTTAAGTTTTCATATAACTCAATGATCACACATTAAAAACATACAATTGGTTGCTGTGGTCCTGTATTTTAATTTTTACCTATTTCACTTTAGGAAACTATTATTATTTCACTGTCAACTTTAAAATTGTGATATTTTTGAAAAATTGAACAATCTTATATTTTATTTATATAAGTGTAATTATTTTTTTAATGGTTTGTAGTTACGATGTAAAATATAATATATGAAATTTTCGAATCGCCTCCTATTCTTATGACTAGGTCTAAGTTCCAACATGGTAAATTATTTTATTCTACTCTACATATTAATTCATTGTACAATACTTAAAGTTTTTAATGTTAATTTACTTACTGAATATTTATGACTCCCGAAGGCCGCAGCTCGTTAAATTTCTATAAATTTCGAAACTGTTGTACCCCCAACTAATTTTGGTACCCCTTCATATTTCCTAGATGAATATGTCCTGTAATACTTGACAATCAGTTTTTTCTGTAAGATTTCCAATCAGATAAATCTATTTTTTTTTAATTTTACAATCTATAAGTTTCGGATATTAGCTTATATGCGAACTATAACTATGATGCAAAATATTCATGAGATAGTTAATTATCTAATAATAATCAGTTATCCCACTGCGATAAATATTTGTCTTATAAGTTCTATTCTTGGTAAAAATATTTATTGTAATAATTAATATTATACATTATTAAGATACTATTTTTTAAGTTCGTAAAATGTTGATTGCATTTAATAAAAAAAATATTTATTTATACATTTTTATGAATATTGTACTATATAGTGTAAAATGCTGTAACTATTTTACGTGGTACATGGATTTAAGTAAATCATAAATTTTATTTTCTATGAAGCTGGATTTATTGTGTGACATTAAATTTGGCACTATATTAATCATAGATAATAGGGTTTCGGATAACTTTAACACTGAAAGTACTTAATTTTGTTCGTTCATTTATGCAAGGGCTAACACGTGAAATGATTTATTTAATGAAATTTGAGTTAGTTCTTTATATTCGTTTTTGTGGAAAGACTGAAGCTGGTTAGAAACACGTTCCAGCGGTAACGAAATGTTTATAATAATACTCTTCAATTGAATTTAACTCTACAGGGTTACTATTATAAAGGTTTTTCATGTCTTTTTTACTCTTATTAAGAACGTGTAATCTACTCTTCAATAACCTGAAAAAACATTTTTTTGTTACAACTTATTTATTTTTTACATTTTATAAAATTATTCCTCTTATCCATATAAACGGTTTTCAATATATTTTACGAATGGAGGCTCTTTTGGAGATCAAACAAATACTTTTTTTAACATAACCCTTGTATGAAATATTAAATATTCAAAGAAACTATTTCCTAGCCACATTCTAAGTTAAGCATATTTTACAATTACCTTATAAATATAATTTCAGCATTTCTAATACCTAATATGCCTCTCTTATAATAATTATTATATCCATATCTACGAAATAGGTATTAAATTATTCATTAAGGTTTTTTTTATACTTTTATGCTAGATATATAGATAAGCTATAATAAAATTAATATCCAAAGGACCACAACAAAAATTAACTTGAAAATTAAATTCTTACCATAAAACAAATGTACTGACTTAATAGAAAACGCACAGTTATATACCATTAGTATGATAAACACTATGTGTAATTGTCTATTATAAGTGTAAATCTATAACTTGATGAAATCATATTATTTCAATATTAACATTTTAATTATACCATTTTCGACATAATTCTGAAGTTATTACTTAAGTTTTTATTTAAAAAGAGTATGGTTATAGTGGAGTTACCAATGTTTTTCATACCAGTCAAATATTTTTTATACGTGTATGGTTAGATAAAAACTAATACATATCATGAATTCTTCCCTCTAAGTTAAAAAAATATCAAGAATAAGCAAAAGTCTCTATGAACATAAAATTTTTAACATAATAGTTACTTTTGAAAAGTATATCTTATAGGGCATACAAAGTTATAGTAATAATTTAAACTATAATTTATAGTTATATATAATTTATAATTATATTTTATAAATGCCCTTTCACTTTTTATCTTTAAAATGCAATTATAGCCATCTTTTTAAGTCAATCATAGTTTATATTTCAATAAACCAAAAAAATAGAATTATTTCAAAACTCGATTATTCTAAAAAATTTTAATTCAAAAGAGAGTATAATAAATTCGTTTTATTTTCAATTCGATGAAATTAAAAAAATCGAGTAATTTTACCAAGCCTAAAATAACACTACTCAAATTAAGAAATTATTATTGTTCTAGAACAAATATTCACGATTTATTATCAAAATAGAAATAGATAAATTCTAAATTCTAAATATGAACAGTAATGTTCATAAATTATATTTTATGACAGACATGAAAAAATTGATATTTTTTAACACTTGTCAACGTGGGCATTTAACTTTCTTATTTTACTACGTCAAAGATAAGCTTCAGAGGAAAAAGTTTTATTTGGAAACTGTATGAATAATAAAATACAAAAATAAGAATTTATTTAACAAATGGTACAACTGTCAGTTAAACTTCGTATTCAAAGTCTAAAAAACATTGTTAAATACTGAAGACTTCTCGCAAAATTTAACTTTAAATTAAATTCAAAACAATTACTCAATTCTTTGTAATATTAAATAGTCAGTCAATGGTATTCAAATAAAATTACACTGGTGTTTTATTACAAAAAAAAAAAAAGTACAAATTTTTTTAAAATAATTATCACAAAACATTTAACGGAGAGTATTTTTATTTGTTCATCTAAAATAATTTTTTCTATAGTTAAATATTCATATAATTAATATATAAAATAATATATTTATATTCAAAGATAAAGTTTTTATTGATAGTCAGAATAAAAAATAGTAAGATATTTTGATTAATATAAGTAATTTTTATTTAAGTTCATTATCTAAATTAGTTAAGAAAATGTCTATTTTTTAAGTATGTTGAATATTTATGTAGTCATTTTAAAAAAATATAGTCGACAACCGTGTAAGTTATAAGGGATGATACTAAAATGTAATTAATAACTGATACATAAAAAAATATATGCCTCTATTAATAAATATTTATTTTTACAATATTTTATATATCTTGCAAATAATTTAGTGAATTATGATAAACGGATCAATCTGTATATATCTCAATAACATGAACCTTAAATGAGTTTATAAATTTAGTTTTAGTAAAAATACCCCGCAAAGTTTATTTTTTTGAAAAATAAATGAACTTATATAAAAAATTATTTAAATTAATCAAATTTATGATTTTTTTCATTCAGACTTTCAATAACAACTTTAACTTTTTGAAAACTTTTGAAAAACTTTTTTTCTTTATATTGTTTATTTTAGTTGTAATTGATTGGGTTTTGATAAACGGGTGACCCTATATTATTAAAAATGAAATTATATACATGGACCATAATTTAATATTCCCTGGCTCTGTGTTTAAGTTAAAAGTGGTCTGCAATATTTAAACCAATATATTTTTATATTCCAGATGATTACTTACTATGTAACACTATCTCAACCTGTAAAATTTTGAAGTAAATAGGACATAAAATAAAAATATATTGAAATACTAGCTGCATACATATTATTATTGATAATTCAGTGAATTTCAAAGTGAACATTTTTCGGCCAATAATAGTTCTTTTGTCAATCAGTAATGATCCCGGTAGGTTACCTACTCCTATTAGTTTGCAGGAATAGAAGGCATAGAAAATGGTTGGCTCCTTAAAGGGATAATAGACAAAACAGTATAAGCATTCATGACTTGATTTAGTGAAACGCTTTAAAACGGTGATTTACCATTACGCGTTTATTGCAAAGGGGTTTTGCTATGAAAACGAGGTCAATCATATCTCTTTATGTGCTGACACATAATTTTTGTGTGCTATGCTACACGCATAAACGTATCAAATGGCTTAAGTAAATATCATCAACTAATTAGATCTATCGACAGTGCAAACTTACTACTTTTGTAACAAGGTAATAACAGCTGTGTCGAATGAAACGAGTAGAATTGAACCTAAAAGGATTTTCTTTATACCTATAAGCACTACAATTTTAACACAAAAAAGGTTTGTTTATTTTGCCTTCTTAAATTCGATTAATCGTTTCAAGTCACTATCATGTTGCTACCTACTAACGTTCATGTAACAAACAAAAAAAACTCGTTTTTTTTTTACATTAGGATGGATAGTAAAGATACCATAATAGGTTTAATATATTTATAGAAATTTTAATACAGTGAAAAGCATCGTAAAACAGCAAAGCCTTCGACAGCGTTTCATCCTCTATAAATTACGATGTTCCGTACTTACTTAAGTTTATATTTTATTCATAGAGCTGGCAGTTTTTTACGTTTTATTTCGCTACAAGTATTCTGTACTCGCGTCGTTTTAGCTTAAAGATTTTATATCGTGTTGCGTTAATTCTGTTAGAAAATTCAATTAAAAAAAAAAATTATACTCTAACTCCATTTAGATATACGTTAATAAGTAAAATTTCTTAGTTGTATTTATTTTCTATTTGAAATTGTTGTCAAAACTATAGTTGGAAACCCATAAGTTTTGAACAAAATCATGGTGTAATCTATCAACAGTTGATTAATCGTTTTAAAATTCTTTCAAAACAAAAGTCAGTAATGGTAACTAAATATGAATAAATGTTACTAATAGATCACATATCATTAATTGTTAATCTATTGGCAAAAGATTTGGATGCTCAAAGTCTATATAACAACAATGCTTCTATAGATGGACTTAAAAACAACCCATGTAATAAATTATGAGCCCACCATAGGTATATATTAGATGTTAAACGTGGCTATTGCGTTAGATAAATTATCTCGAATTTGTTATTTAATGTCGATGACTAGCGATTTCTTCTCACTTACTTACTTGTTAGTCAAATAAAAATATACAATGAATTCGAGAAATTCTCTTATTTTCAAACATTAAATACATATAATCGCACAATATGAACAGTTTTGTTTTTCAAGTTTCAAGTTGATTTAATAAAAAGAAAAAATTATAAACAAGTAGTTATTTACAGTAGTGCTGTAAGTTAAATGCGATTGGCTAAATTAAATGTTAAAGAAATATTTTCTATGTACAACTTTCTGACGAAAAGAAATATAAAACACAGTGAAAATTCACTATTTTAAGTTTTGAATAACTTGATTGGCATGAAGCATCTAAAAGTACTTTTTACTTATAATAAGATATTAACAAAAGAATTCTCAACGATTTTTTTTTTTTTTTTAACTATAGTCTAAAATAAATTGGAACACTACAGAAAGGGAAGATTTTATGAATTCTTTAAAAATAATTCAAACTAGTGTTAAAAATAAAACAAAACAAAAAAAATCTAAAGTAAATTATTAATGATAGATATATTTATAAATGTAAATAGATATTGTAGTCTATTTACATAAGAATTTAATTAGAATCGATTTTAAATAATTAGATATTATTTTGTTTATTATAATGATAATTTAGCCAAACAAATAAATATCAAAGTACCATCATAATAATATCTAAATACTTTCAAATGTATTTCGTTACTAACATTATTTAATTTTATAATAAAAATTGATTACTGTGACTAATATTATTAAAAAATAAATTATATTAAAAATATTTAACTCAAAAAGCCACAAAAATTACTAAAAAAATCGTGGTTATGTATTTTGGAAACAATTTTACCATTATCAACGCATCCACTAACACCCCGACCGAAAAATTCTCCCTTATATATACCTCTAGTGACCTTATCACTTAGTGACGTTGTCATATTTTGCCAGTTTAGATAAGTTTAATAAGGAATTCTTCAGTAGTCCAAAATCCCAATTAATTAAATTATTCTTATTTTTAAACATTTCTATTGCCTCCCTTATAATAAGATCTTTGTAATTATTAACGTTTTATGGTTTTAATGACTATGTGTCAAAAAATGTTCAACCACGGGAGATTATCAACTTCATGATTTTAAACGATTCTCAAATGTTCTATAAACCTGACCCCTATATTTAATTTTGTTTGTCCTACATAACATTTAATACAAATTGGGTTGGGTAGTGAGTGTCAAACTTTGACACCCGTTCTCTCGACTCTTGTGACGCTCGTTTAGGACTGGTTCGAACGTGTTCACGCGTCGTCCCGCCTTCGTCCCTTCTTCAGCGAGGGTCAGTCGTTTTTGTTTATGGTTTGGTTTTTTTTCGCGTATTTCACTCTATGTACTCTGTTCTCAGTTCTCGCGCCTCATACTGTTCGATTATTGAACCACTTAAAGTTTCTGTTCCCTTTTAGAGTTCTTAAACGTTACTGGTATGCATTTGTATAATCAATCGTGTTACACATAACCATCTATTATTAATATCTTGAATCGATCAATCATTGCCACTCTCGCCATTAATCTTAACTTTCATCAGATAAGCTTACAAATTTTATTTCTCTTGCGTCTTATTTTATTCATTTGTTTGATTAGTTATTGTTAGTATGTTTGTTACCCCCCTCCCCTTTAATTTTCATGTTTTTGATTTTTGCAAGACTATAATATACATTTTCATATTTTTATTTGCATTAGAAACAGGTGTACCTATTTTTTATTTACCACTTATTCCTACTTTGCTTCTACAAATAAACAACCCATGACAATAGTACGAGACAAATTTAATATTAAACTTTTGCATGTTACACATTGTATTTTTAAATGTACGATATTCCCCCTTCTAATTTATCTTTAGGGTTACTTAACAATTTTTCAAATTATTACTTTTAGGTGTTACTAAAGTAATGACGAAATTCTTAAAAATTCCATCTAGTCTATTTGATAATATAAGATGGGCGACCTAATTAAATCAATTAAATCTATCTATTTCTCTTATAATCTCAAGTTATTTATCAAAATATATTTTATCTAATGAAATATTAACTAATCTGTAAACCAACTATTAAAAGGTGCCACTTTTTTGTTGCAAGCCGTGGTTTGAATTGTTTTTAATGTACCTTATGTGTGTTTGTTATTACGAAAATAACATATTTCAAAATTAACGTATATGGTCTCTTTGGAGCTCTTCCTGTACTTTGGTTTCCCATCAGATTTTTACAAAAAACATAACAAAATAAAAAACATTGTCTCAAGTATACGCTATTCAGTATTAAAATGCAGGAAAATTTTTTTGAAAATGTCATATTTTACGGGTAACACAATTTTGAGATATTTTTAAAAAATTTTAAAATTGAGGGGTTTTTACAAAATTTTGGCGCTGAAGTGTTCAACTAGATTAAAATAAGATTCTTTTATGTGAATTGATCATTAAAATCGATCCTGTGAGAAGTGAGAATTTTATGAAGAACAAAAAAAAAACGCACATATCACAAAACCAATATCATATAATAAAAAACGGTAGCACAGTGGGGTCGAGGCACAGTGTGGACGAGGCATAGATGGGACAAGTATAGATGATATCTGA